ATCTTGCAAACAAAGCCTTTGAAGAAACTGGTAACAATTTTATTTTATGTATACATAGAAAAGGGATAATTTTAAATTGTATGCAAGGGCAAAAACAATAGAAAATACTTAGTAGATTGCGAGACATTTAGAAGTAAATTAGGTAATACCTGAATATAAAGTTTAATATGATGTGTTATACATTTTTGGCAATGTTTTAAAAAACTATTTACAGTACATGTATATTTTGCAATATGTATGCTTTGGTTCCTGATTTTGCAGCACTACAGAAAAGTTCTGACTCATTAAAAACACCGCACTGATGTGGCTGATGTCCTATCCGAACAGCTGAGCAAAAAAATCTAACCCACACCTCCACCTTTATACACCTTGAGGAGGGTGAAAAGCCAAAACAACAACCTTGAAACTTCTCCACTTCTGGAACAATGGTAATGACTTCTTGATTTAGAAGCAGGGGCAGACTGACCATTCGAGCACTCGGAGTCAATAGGGGGCCCCATGAAATGCCCCTGGTACCTTTTTTATAGGCTTTTTTGAGTGTGGGCAAGGACACAGGGGCCCCATGATCCCCTATTGCCCGGGGGCCCCATGAGTTGTCAGTCCGCCCCTGTTTAGAAGGTTCTCCAGAGCAGCACCTAAGTCTGTCAAACTGGGTACATACACACAGTTTTATTTCAACTACCGGGCTGAAAAAAGACAGATCCCTGGATCAACACAAGCAATATTGATGCAGGGATCTCTCCCTCCAACCAGAATATTCTGATTAGCACTTGCAGAGATTGGCTGCGATGGCTGATCAAATGCTGGTGTTCCAGAAGCTTCTGTCGAACAGACAGCTGTACACATGTACCGAATGTTCTCCAATTCCTGCTGAACTAGCAAATTTTTGACCTGTGTATACCAGACTTTACCCTGTGCATAGACAGAGTCAGATTGGAAGAAGTGAAGCAGGGTGGAGGCAGAGATTAAAACTCTATCTTATTGCCCCTGAACAACATGCCTTTTAGCCATTCATCCAAATTGCTTTCATTCCAGGTGTCCACAAAGTCCAACATATGTCCCCAACTTTAGAAAGTAGGGGCATCACCTTCACTGTGAATAAGATTTGTTTGAAGGCTTGGAAGATTTGGGGGTTCAGGATTTGTATTTGGGTCCCGGACTTAGTAACATCTAGTTAATCTCATTGAAAATAGACACAAGTCCATCCAGTGCAACCAAGAGAAAAAAAAAAAACACACAGCAATAGAAAAACTCCATATACACTACCCAATACCCACAGTTGATCCAGAGGAAGGAAAAAAAACAATAAAGTATGATCCAATTTGTTCCAGTGAGGGAAAATTCCTTCCTGATCCCCCGAGAGGCAATCGGATATTCCCTGAATCAACTTTACCTATAAATATTAGTATCCAGTTATATTATGTCCATTTAGGAAAGAATCCAGGTATTTCTTAAAACAATCTACTGAGCTTGCCAGAACCAGCACTGGAGTCTATTCCACATTTTCACAGCTCTTACTGTGAAGAAGTCTTTCTGCATTTGGTGATTAAATCTCTTTTCCTTCAGCCATAAAGAGTGCCCCCTTGTCCTCTGTGATGACCTTAAAGCAAATAAATTCTAATCAAGTTCACTATATGGACCACCTATGAATTTATACATGTTGATCATATCCCCCCTTAATCTCCTCTTTTTAAGAGAGAATACATTCAGTTCCTCTAATCTTTCTTCATAGCTGAACTCCTCCATGCCTCTTATCAGTCTGGCTGCCCTTCTCTGCCCTTCTCTCCAGATGAGGTCTTACTAATGGTTTGTACAGGGGTAAAATGATACCTCCCTCACTGGAGTGTTCACCTCGGAGAAAGGAACTCTTTTTTTGACTTTAGAGGTGGAAGTTTTTTTCTGTTTGAGGCTTACTGTAAGTTTATTGCTAACTTATTTACTGTATGGGTTGGTGGGAGGAGTGCCACATCTCTAGATACTATTCATTTATTAAACTCTATTACAGGTATATAGATGATCTGATGTCTGTAGTGAATGTAGATGTTCATGATTTTGTTACTTATCTAAATGCAAACAACTTATATTTAATCTTTACACATAACAAACATCTGGATAATACTAACTACTTGGATCTTACTATACATTGAGATTTAAGTATGGATATTTCTACTAAAACATATAGGAAATCCACAGCTAGAAATTCATTGTTGCATGTGTCGGGCTGACACCCACAACACATTATCAGAGCAATTCCAAGGGTACAGTATGTTGGATCAAGGAGAAATTGTTTGGATTTACATACTTTTTACATTGAATCTATGGATGTAAACAGAAGAATTCGAGCAAGAATTTACAGCAATCAGATCATTAAAGTGTTTCTAAACCCACAACAGTAAAATCAGTCTGTGTATGCAGCAAAGATAGTTATACTTACTGTGGAACCTAAGGGGTTAATCCTCTGCATTGTGTAATTTTCTTCTCTGTCCCATCCACTTGTTGAAATGTCCACCTGATGCAGACTGAATCCGTGATCACATGCTCAGTTTGGTGCGTATTTCTAGAGAGGTTTTTTTTTTTTTTTTCTTGGGAGGGTGCATGTGATCAGCACAGGGTCAATCAGCACTGTCCAGACAGAGGTCAGGGGGTTTCACATCCTCCTAGAGCAGAAAGAAAACTCCTCCTACAAGCATTAATCAGTGCTCTGCGGAAGTCACAAGACTGCTCTAATTGCTGATGAGAAAAGGTATTTAGCAGTTTATATTTACTAAAATAATTGTGTTATATGGTAAAATAATTGTGTGTATGGTAAAATAATTGTGTGTATGGTGGGAGGCCAGATATAGTGAATGCAGGGTCTTGGGTTTAATTAACTCAGTTTAACAATATACAAGGAATGGGAGTAGAGAATTAAAGGATGCGTTCACCTTTTTTAAAAAAATAAATAAATACACTTTTTTTCAGGTAAAAAAACAAATGCATTAATTATTTTTTTTAAGGTGCCTGTAAAGTGTTGCACCCGTGGTCAGCAGATCAGGGGTGCAGTGTCAAGCTCCTGCAGACTGTCTGTCTAGTTGTCTGCCTGTACCTTGGATACAGGCAGGCAGTTACTGAATCACAGGAAAATCAATGAACTACCTAGAGTGCTCATCAGCGCCCTGACAGTTCATTGAGAACTACAAGCCATCAGCCACAAGGGCTGAGGGTCCTTGCAGTTCAACAGATCTTCAGCTTCATGAACTAAGGAGACGGAGAGAGTTTAGCCCAAGCATCAGGAGTCTGTGACACATGGTACCACCCTAAGGATGATGCACGCCCTGATGTAGGCTGCCCAGTACCCTGTCCATTTCCTAGAGGGAGACAACGGTTTGGTTGCTCTACAGCTAGAGGAAGGAGAGTCTGCTAAGACGGCCCAGCTCGTCCATATCATCCCATGAGCAAGACCTCTGGTTTATGTATCACATGCGTATTGAAAATACGCATCTGGTGAGTGCGCATTTTCACTATTTGTCACCAGACCACAGGATCGGGAAGTCAATAGCAACTCCTGTATAGATCACTCATCACGAACTGTCACTATTTTATTTATTTATTTCTATTACTTTAAATATTCTCTTAATGTGGTACTTTTATTATCCATATGATTTGGAGAACATACTGAGTATAACATATTTTATTGGAGTATATACTTTTTAGCGCTGCACTTCTTATAGATATATTTATGAGGTTTATTTTTTGGTTGCCTTGCGTGCTATAGCTGCTATCATTTGAAGTGCTCACTGATTGCATTTATCTTAGTAAATGAGCAATAGCTCTGCTGACTTCCATCATCCAATCATGTGCAAGCAAAAATGCTGTTTTTTTAATTTTCCTTGCATGTGATTGGGTATTCTTTGCAAAGTGCAGCTGTATCTCATTTACTAAGCTCTGGAGCAACATCCCTTGCAGAGAGCAACTGCGTTTTGCAAAGTGCAAGGTCTATTTGCCTTTAGTAAATCAACCCCACAGAGTTCCCTAGTACTGGTGAGTTAGAAGAGGTACTGCCTTGAAACATTTTACCCAAGATATTAGAGGATGGATGAGTATCTTTATACCATTTTTGTGAATACAATATGTTTATTTTAACCAATTAAAGTTTTTGAGGATCCTACACTATGCCAACGAGCTCTCAATTATTGAGGTGTTTCATTTACAGTTTTTTCTGAGGAGTCCCCGGTCTGGAGAGAGCTGCAAGAAAGTGGACATTTTTCTACTACATTGTGTTGAAGAAAGAGACTCTGTGCTAGTATACAGGGCTGCTGTTAGAAACCAGAGGGCCCCATACAGCCAACCTGACAGATCCCCCTCCCCCACAAAAGAACACAGTTTACTATGCTTCAGTTATGAATGAACACAATGAGTGATTGATACCGATCACTCATTGTGATCATTTAGAAAAGGATGGGGCTGGTAAATGTGGCATATTTACAGGACCCATCCTCCATCCGGAAGGATCCTGTTGTGTGCTTGTAGCTGCTGGTGGTAAGGAGAGCTGGCAGCACTGAGGGGGTGGGGACACATGGGGGGCATGGGCAGCAGGGGGAAATGTATGGTGCAAAGTGAGGGTGATGGGTGCAGTGTGGGGGAAATGACTGGAACCGATCCCCTATATGACTCTCTCTGCAGCAGCTGAAAACCTGTGGGAGGGAGAGGAGAAGCCAATTTTCATCTGTTGCAGAGAGAGCCATACAGGGGAACAGTTCCAGTAATTGCCCCTCCCCCCTGACTGTGCCAATCACCCTCCCTGCCAACATACAATTCACCCAGCTGCCTGGACCCCATACAAGAGGACTGGTGGTACCCCCTTATCCACAGCCCTGCCAATATAATTAGTACTTTGGCAGACATAGGACAGATTTACTAAAGGTGAATTGACTGTGCACTTTGCAAAGTGCAGTTGCTTAGTAAATGAATAGAAACTCTATTGACTTCAATCATCCAAACCAAGCAAAAAAGGCTTTTTTTCTAATTTTCCTTGCACATGATTGGGTATTCTTTGCAAAGTGAAGCTGTACCTCATTTACTAAGCTCTGAAACAGCTGCATTTTGCAAAGTGTGCAGTCCAGGGTCGGACTGACCACTGGGGAACTCGGGCACTGCCCGAGGGCCCAGGGTCAGTAGGGGGCCCCATGAGATGTCCCTGGTACCTTTCATAGGCTTTTTTGGGTGTTATTTAAATGTGGGCGAGGACACAGGGGCCCCATGATCCCCTATTGCCAGGGGGCCCCATGAGTTGTCAGTCCGCCCCTGGTGCAGTCTATTTGCCTTTAGTAAATCAACTCCATAGATTTAAAGATTTCATCACGGCTGAGTGCTGACATTAGTAATTAATATTTTTGAGGACTTTATTTTTGAAGACTTTAAGGGCCTGCCTATGTTCCAGACATGGGGACCCTGTGTCCTTGCCCAAACTCAAAAAAGCCTATGAAAAAGGTACCAGGGACATCTCATGGGGCCCCCTACTGACCCCTTTCCCTCGGGCAGTACCCGAGTTTCCAAATGGTCAGTCCGCCCCTGATTCCAAGGCTAAGTGGAGATGTGAGCCGGCTCCCAGGGGTGAAAGTAATAATGTAAGTATTCCTCTCTATAACATCTCCCTAGACTAAATGACCCTTACTATGTGGGGGGAGGGGGGATCTGCCAAACTAAGATTTTTTAATCAGCTGGCAAAATTCAGCTTTAAAGTAAATGCTGCATTAATAAAATAAAAATATGTTCTCACAGAAAATAAAAGGTACTTTTACACCTTTTAAGAATTGACATTCAAACGGGCAGGCTAACTTTTGTTTGAAAAGCCTATCTTGTTTCTTGGCATTTAGGGGTCAAATATACAGTATGTATACAAATGTGCTACTTAACTAACTTTTCAATCTCTTCAGTTTAAACATGTTCGATTTTTAAATATCTAGTCTTCTGTTTTCCCTACCTAATAACAAACCTCTTATAATATATAGTGAAGGATGTATTAGGCCTGGTTCACACTATTGTGGGTCTGTGGGCCGCGTCTGCACAAGCATGGCAACCCATTTAGTTGCATGCTGGAAAAAGGTTCCTGCATCATCTTGAAAATTAAGCGGCTAGGAAATCAGATGGTACTTTTGCATCGTGCTTTTTCCCCATGGTTCCCACACCTGTAAGCACACTGCATTTTTATATATGTGTAGGGGTGCCATTAAGAAGAAATTACAGCGCCGTGCGTTTTTAAACAGAAGCACATTTTGTCTGCGGGTGGTTGCGGGTGCAGGAACAGGTGCAATTCCTGCACCCACAACCGCCTTCAATAGTGTGAACCGGGCCTAGGAGATACTCTATAGCGTTAGGTTCACACTGTGCGGGGTGGTTTTGGGCGCGGTAATCGCTGCTGTTCCCGCACCTGCAACCACCCGCAGCCAAAACGTATTGCTATTAAGAGACTCGTAAGGCTGCCATTTATTCTTAACGCATCCCCCACGCATCTCAGCCCACAACGCGTTCATGGATGTGGATGCGGGAACCGCACAAAAATCACATAGTGCAAAAGCATCATGCAATTTCCTTTTTGCAATTGCCGCATTTTTCAAAAGGTGGATGCACCTTTTTATGTGGGAAATTCAGGCAGAGCAGCTAATTCAAATGAATGGCCACAAACCCGTAGACCCGTGTGAACCTAGGATAAGATAGTGCAGACATTTTACCTTATTTTATCTTACTTTATGGATAGGTTATATTATTATTTCACTTTTTTTGTATTCTTTGCACTTCTTTGCCTTTTTTTACTACTGTTCGATTTTTTTCTATAAAAATGTAATATATGAAAACCTAATGTAAATATAAACTGTAACAACAAACGTTTCTTCAGAAATACACACAGATCCATAGCTCCACTTAAGCCTGGCCTCTCTTGCACCTGGCTGCTGGCCATCACAGTCCATCTCCACTCTTCATTGAAAATTGGAAAAAATCAATGGCACTCCAATTAGCTCTTCTTGTAGTATTTGTAATAATCAGTGCGTTGACCGCATACAGTGATATCTCCAACCCAAAACCAATCTTCCTTGATACATTTCACCACTCCTGAGTGTCTGTAAACAGCAATTTTCACGTTTGGCCACACATTCTCAATTGGATTTAGGTCTGGACTTTAACTGGGCCATTCTAACACATGAATATGCTTTGATCTAAAACATTCCATTGTAGCTCTGGCTGTATGTTTAGGGTCGTTGGTAAACCTCTGCCCCAGTCTCAAGTCTTTTGCAGAGTCTAACAGGTTTTCTTCTAAGATTGCCCTGTATTTGGCTCCATCCATCTTCCCATCAACTCTGACCAACTTCCCTGAACCTGCTGAAGAAAAGCATCCCCACAACATGATGCTGCCACCACCATGTTTCACGGTGGGGATAGTGTGTTCAGGGTGATGTGTAGTGTTAGTTTTCTGCCACACATAGCATTTTGCTTTTAGGCCAAAAAGTTACATTTTGGTGTCATCTGACCAGAGCACCTTCTTCCACATGTTTTCTGTGTCGCCCACATGGCTTCTCGCAAACTGCAAATGGGACTTCTTATGGCTTTCTTTCAACAATGGCTTTCTTCTTGCCGCTCTTCCATAAAGGCCAGATTTGAGGAGTGCACAACTAATAGTTGTCCTGTGGACAGATTCTCACACCTGAGCTATGGATCTCTGAAGCTCATCCATAGTTATCATGGGCCTCTTGGCTGCTTCTCTGGTTAATGTTCTCCTTGACCGGCCTATCAGTTTAGGTGGACAGCCATGTCTTGGAATGTTTGCAGTTGTGCCATACTTTTTCCGTGTTTAGATGATGGATTGAACAGTGCTCCGTGAGATGTTCAAAGCTTGGGATATTTTTTTATAACCTAACCCTGCTTTAAACTTTTCCACAATTTTATCCCTGACCTGTCTGGTGTGCCTTCTGAAGGCAATTGGTTCCACTAGATTTTAGTTAGAGGTATCAGAGTAAAGGGAGCTGAATACAAATGCACACCACACTTTTCAGATATTTATTTGTAAAAAATTTTGAAAACCATTTATCATTGTCTTTCCACTTCACAATTATGTGCCACTTTGTGTTGGTCTATCACATAAAATCCCAATAAAATACATTTTACATTTTTGGTTGTAGCATGACAAAATGTTGAAAATTTGAAGGGGTATGAATACTTTTTTAAGTCACTGTATTTAACATATACATTTATGTATTTCCTTTAGTGAATTGACTTTAACACCATTAGATGCAATATTTATCAAGCATTTTTTGTTTTTGAGGTAAATATCACATAAAGGGATAATGATTAGTGAATTTACATTTTCAGCATTTTATGCGATATTTGGGAAAAATGTGTCATATCACCTAAATACTGCATGTGATCTGCTTTAGTGAATGGAGCCCACTGAGAGTACAAGATGAGGGTTGTGATGGGGGTGCTGGTCTTTTATTTGAAACTATTCATTGCCAAGTCCTTTTATCAGGTTTTATAATAATATATATGTACCGATACATTTTCTAACAATGTTTGTAATGTTAGCTACTTCAATTGTTTTGATATTTGCATACAAAGTGGTTGATTGAGTCAAAATCAAGTTTTTATTTTCTTTGTATCACAGTGAATTATCACCATTGACTCCCCCACCCAGTTTTGCACTTATATTTATTTTGGGGGAGACTTAGAGTTTTTAGATTTGGTGTTGTTTCTTAAAGTTCACCATCCCACCAAAATGAAGACACTTGGGCTTATTTACTAACGCTGGAGAGTTTAAAATTAGGCTCACTTCTGCAGAGAAACCAATCAGCTTCTAACCTCAGTTTGTTCAATTAAGCTTTGGCAATAAAACCTGGAAGCAGATTGGTTTCTATTCAGAAGTGAGTCTGATTTTGCACTGCCTAGCTTTAGTAATTAAACCCCACTGGAACCAAGTTCTGGTCTGCAATACTCAGGAGGGATGTGATGGAACTGGAGAGAGTCCATAGAAGGGCAACAAAGCAAATAAGAGGGCTGGATGACCTCGGGTATGAGGAATGATTACAAACAATACATTTATTCTCCCTGGAGAAAATACGTTTAGGAGGGGAAGCAATATAGATAGCGATATACAGATATCTTAACCACATGCCGCCCAGCCACCGCATATAAACGGTGGCAGGGCGGCGCTCGCAGGCAAAAGTACATTTTAAAACGGCTGCCTTCAAAACAGGTAGGGGGCGCGTGCCTCCCTGCCTGTCCCGCGGGTGTCAGCAGCGGGTCTCCGCCGCCGGATCACGGCCGTTTTTTACCGGCCGTTTTCCCGCGATGAGCGGTAATCACTGACACATAGCAGGGCTTCATTGTTTACACACAGCCTGCTCTGTGACAGTTCGCCGACAAGCTGAAGAGGGAGAGAAGAGTTTCTCTCCCTCGATCAGCTCCCTCCCCCCGTCCAGTACACACCCCCTCCCCCTAGTAAAACACTCCCCTTACACAGCAAATTCTAAAAATGTTAACCCCTTCCTCCCCAGTGACATTAGTACAGTTTCAGTGTTTTTTTTTCACTGATCACTGTATTGGTGTCACTGGGCATGTCAGTGACCCCAAGTCAGTTCCCCCTCCCAGTGTCAAAATGTCCGCCACAGTCCCGCAGTCCCGCCATATGTCGCTGATCGGCGCCATTATTAGTATAAATAAAAATTAAAAATCCCAGTATCTTTCCCGCCATTTGTAAACGCTATAACTTTCACGTAAACCAGTTAATTTACACGTATTGTTTTTTTTTTTTAGCAAAGACATGTCGCAGAATGCATTTTGGCAGAAATTTATGACTAAATTTGATTTTTGCATTTTTTTTTATACTGGACATGTTTTATAGCAAAAAGTCCAAAATATTGTTTTTTTTTCCTCAAAATTGTCAGCCTTTTTTTTTATAGCGCAAAAAATAAAAACTGCACAGGCGATCAAATACCACCAAAAGAAAGCTCAATTTGTGGGGAAAAAAAGGATTTAAATGTCATTTATGTACCGTATTGCATGACCGCGCAATTGTCCGTTAAACTAGCTCAGCGCT